AAATAGAATACCCTGTATATTTTAAATTGTTTCGATTCCATTTGTTAACTTCTACCTTGAAAGCTATTCGCTTTTTGCTTTTCTGTCAATGTTGCCATCCTATTCATTTTTTTCCGAATAATTCCATGTAAGCAATCCTCAACTTTTATGAATCGTGGCCACCAGAAATAAATTTAAGTTATAATGTTAATCCGAGGAAACGGAAACACTTTGATAATAAGAAAGTTGTATTTAGTGATCCAAGGTGTTCACAATGAAAGGGTTAAATTACCGAATTTCAATGTTCAGATAATATGTAGAAATGTTTTTTTGAACTCGTAGCGTAGACGACTACTGGTTTATTTTGTTTATATTTATCTGGTGTCCCCTTACGGAATTTATTCACAAAATGATACATCAATTGCATATGTTACCTCAATATTTGCATGTTTCGAGGGCAAATTTTGCATATTAATTTAATTATGCTACGGGTTGAAAGTAAAGAACAGTGAACCAGTGGTAGTTAATTGCCTGTTCATCATTTTTGTCTACAATTATTATCTGTTTCTAGAATTTAGTTTGTATATCGCTTCAGGGTTCCCACTCCCCTGATTCACTGCCGCTCGTTTACACATCGTCAGAAAAAAAGTATTAATCATTCATTTTCGTACTTTGTGAGTAATGTTTCAATTTAGAGAATGCTTTAAACGAAATACAAATGATCTATCTGTCACTCATTATCTAAATCTCTATTTGAACTACTAAATTTCAGCTATTTGGAAATTCACACGTATGAATAAAGATAATGTTAATTCCTGGCCCAAGGTAGCGACCAGGACCTCAAACTGCTCGCATCCATCGAGTAAGATCGTTTGGCCGTTTTCCAAACCTAATTTGTTCTATAAACAACAACTTTAGGTCCATGTCCAAAATATAAAAATGACGACGCAACTTAATTCCTGATGCCTAAGTAATGATCACATTTTGTTTCTGTCCATTGAAGGAACGGTAAATGATAAGTAGAAAGTTTTTGACAACTTCATCTCAAAAATTCTTTGTCGAGATCGGGATGATGAAGATGCTGACACTTTACATCCAAACTGATAACCATTAAATCCGCAAATAAGTTATTAACTATTTCCCCAAAGAAATTTACGAAGTTACAAAGATTTTGGGCTTCAAATCGCGAATCCAACTCACTCAATCTGATTAAAATTTTGTTGAATTTCCCTGCTCTTATCGAAGTTATTGGCACCTTTGTCCAAAAAGTAAATCGTATTCTCTTTTTCGCGTTACATTACGACTAAAGGAGAAATTTCGTTTTCCGCACGTCCCTGTTGCAAATATAGACATTGCGTACTTAAAACAGTAAGTAAATTAGTGATTCAAATAGTGAAAAATAACTAGTGCACTATACGTGTCTTATTTGGAATGCGTGTATTTTAGTTGGCAAGCTTCCGTTCAGTCTACCCAACGCATTATTACTTCCGGTTTACTCAACATAGATAGACGTCGGTAAGCCTATCATACAAAAATAGCTAAGTTGATCCAACAGTTAGTTTTTTAAACACTTTCTCACACTGAATAAAGTTCCTATTTTTAAAAGCGTTTTAAAAATGGAACTGTACACATTTTTGTTACTGTATACTTTTGAGTGTGAGTTTTTTTTAGCGGTGAATGCATTTTTTGTGATTAATAAGTCGTGACTTCAGCTTCAGATAATCTTTGCCATTTTGTTACAGCAGCCCGTGTGCCATTTGATTATCTCATATTTACGGTTTTAATTTTCAAGAGAATGAACTCGATATTTTGGTGAACAAAATTGTAGTTGCACCGCGAATTGCACATCAAGTTGAATCTGTATTGATTTTTAGAGCATTTAGAAATTATTTTTAGATGTTAAGATTTCTTTTCATATTCATTTAGCACTAGATCATTTTTTCCGCCTTTTCCTTAATCCTTATTTGGGAAAAGTCTGTGCCGAGTGTCCAAAAAAATTAAGTGTTTATTTGTTGCTATATTGCCATATAGCAGAATTTTTTATGACATCGAGGATACTATAGTAGTTTAACATTCAACTGGAATGCAACCTCGACAAATTGGAAAGTTTCTAGAAAAATCACGGAACGTTCTCATAGATTCAAGGAAACAATGCGACGGCGTCGAGCGTCGCATCCACTTTCATTCCTTCCTAGTCTGTGACTAATATTTTATCGACTTTTGATGGCGTTTAGAGGATACTTGCTACAGAGTTTGATTTCGAGTTTGAAGGTTGAAGTTTTAAAATTTTTCAAAGTTTGACTGCATGGTTTGAATATTGGCCGTTCGTAAACCTACATTTTCATAAGTTACTTTCCACTGGAAAACTAAAATTTCTTCTATAAACTGTTGAGTTAGTTTGCTTAAATGCTATAACGTAGAAAAACGTGAAAAAGTTAATCCAATAAATATTCAGTGAACGTAATAAATTTTGATTTGGTGTATACACGACCGTTTGTTTTATGGATTTTCTCTCGGACTTTCGTAAATTTAAGTGAAAAGAATAACCACAATTTGGTACCCTCAAATGTCGCGAGGATTTCCGCTATTAAAGGCCGGTCTTTTATGTTTCAGTTAAACTTATTTGATAGATTAGATAACCCCTCAAATATGTAAAACGTATTTAGGATCGAAACAAAGTACAAACCGAGGTACAAACAAGCATTGTAGAATTTTTATATTATTTAGAAAATTTTGTATCATTTGTTTCGGTGGTAACTTGTTAATTAAATGGGAACGGTTCGGAAGTGACAAGGGTAAAGTGACTAAAATTAATTTATTTTCACTATGGTTGTTAATGCAAAACCACTATATTAATTGCTACACTGACTGTCACTGCAGTGTCAGCCATAACAACACGCACGGTACAGTGAATTGCGACGAAAGCTTACAATTTCTCTATAAAGTTGTTAAATTCCGTGAAAGACAAGAAAGGAAACTACTTGGAATATTAAGAGCGTTACTACGTACTATTGGAAAAAACTGAAACAAGTCGGTTTTTATTCTTAATTTGACAATGTATACCCTCTAATACCCCCCCTGAATTATAAACACCCCCTCAAAAACTTTACATTAGAAAGGGGGCGGTGTGGCACCTTGTTTCATAGGAACTGTGTACAGTTTTCTTTAAAATTGGATTCAAGCATAACTAAGAAGATTTTGAAACAGGTTTTCAGGAAGATTTCGAAGAATGAGAAATATATATTTTACGGATCCTAGGAAGAAACTTTAAAGACGTTTTCAATGAGATGTTTAGTACTAAAATTATAGCGCGTATTTACTCTTGTGAGTAGGTGGCACTGGCACCCCCATAGTGACCACAATAATAAATTGATCGTTTTCATTTTATAAACAATGTACCATGTAACGGGTAGTTACATTTAGAGAGGTGAAAGACGTCACTTGCATAAAATAAAATTGAATCTCTACGGCACTGGAAGAAATTCCAAATGAACCATTAATTTGTATGGTTCCTACGGCTAGCTCAGTAATAAAATTGTATACCCCTTCCCTGCGAAAGTTTAAACTCTTTTCAAGTCTGACGGAGACGATACGTCAGGCTTAAAATTTAAAACTAGCATCTTGTAGAGGAAAAAAGTTGCCATATTTATTTTGAAATATCTTTTCAAATAACTTCGTTAAAAAATAAATTCACAAAAAATACACCAAACTTCCCTTAACTTCAGTTCACTTGACTTCTGTTAAACTTCATTTAACTTCATTTCTTAACTTCACTATTATAGTTCTTCTTTTTCTTCCTTCTTTCCAATTTCCTCTTACATTTTGTTATTCTTCAACTGATTCTTTCTTCTTGAAGCACTTCCTATAACAATTACTTTTCGTATATTTATCATTCAAAATTATCATTCAAATTCTCTCAAATTGTTCTCTGCTGTAACAATGCTGTAATACAATCCTTCTACTGTGCTTAGGTACCAAAATATAAATTCGAAAAAAGTCACTTTTTAATTCTAAAGCGACCACCCGTAAAAACAACTACAGCAATTAGTTGGAAACTTCTAATGTATTAAAAAGAAGACAAAAGTGTTACCAGTGAGCGTCTACGTTTGCAAACTCGAAATACATTTTACCCATTTGGGTGGGTTCCAAGCTTGCACTTAGCATCTACAATTTGTCAATTTCAAACGAAATTTTGTGTCAATTGGGCACTGCAGCAATAAATAAACACTCTAGGCATAAAAATTGAGAGTGAGGGTGTTAAGTTAACGGGTACAAGTGCGTACGAGGTAGGAACCGCAAAAATTTACTAGTTCCCGAACTACTAGATCAAATTGCGTCAAATGTTAGATTTTTTGTTTATTGAAATCGCAACAGATATACATATTAAGGTTCCACTGGAATCTTCTTTTCTTTTCATCGATAATCTAATTAATTATAAATTTCCAATTTTTCTACATGCCTCAGATTCATGATCCGGCGATATTTCCAATTTCTTTCCTCATAAATTTTTCTTTGTTTTATTTAATTTTGTTTAATTCGCTTCAATATTCGAGGACCCTTTAAATGTATCTTTGCCCTCGACGTTTACTTGGCAATCAAAGTTTAATTTACTTGGGAAAAATCTGCAGTGCACCACCAAAATCGTCCTTTATTCGATCGCGTAAAATTGAGAAAACCAAGTCTTCCTTCAATTTTCGAGTGAGCTATTTATTTATTAAATTAATGTATTGCGTTTCTGTTTCGCGGCTTAATTACTGAACAACTGGCAATTAGAGCATTGCGACAATCAATCCCGCACTTCAATATGAGAAATTCGCGTCATTTTTAATATTCGCTCTACCGCGAGCACTTTTAACCTCGTTTTAACTCTTTGTTTGCGTTTTTCAAGTATACAAGACGTTGATTTTTAAAACAAAGAGTGCTGTTTACTCTTTAAGATTAGTTTTCTTTGTAATCACGGTAAAGGGTGAGAATGTTACAGTCTTCAATCTGAGCTCGTCTTTTAATTGGTTTTCTTTCAGTTTTCAGATTCGGTACGTGATGCCGTCGGCTCGACTCACCCTCCGCGAGGAGGATGTAGTTCGGCTGGCTTTAGAATTTCTGCACAATCGGGAGTTACACATATCTCAGCTGAGCCTCGAGAGGGAGACGGGGGTGATCAATGGCTGCTATTCGCACGATCTTTTATTTTTGCGGCAACTGATATTGGACGGACAGTGGGATGACGTCTTGGAATTCATTCAACCTTTGGAAGCGTTACCCACGTTCGAGATGAGAAAATTCACCTACACGATATTAAAGCATAAGTATGTGGAATTGTTATGCATCAAATCCGAAGCTAACGTGCAAGGAAGTAGCGTGGATAACGCAGTTGAAGAAGTCGTTAAAGTGCTAACCGAGTTGGAGAAATTCGCTCCAACAAAAGAAGATTATTCTAATATGTGTTTACTGTTAACTTTACCCAGACTTACGGATCATTTGCAATATAAGGATTGGAATCCGAGTAATGCGCGAGTTCAGTGTTTTAGAGACATTTACCCCTTGGCCGCCGAATTTCTCCCCGTCGTTAGAAAGGGCTCGGATCAAGTAAATACAATCGCGAGCGCAAAAAACGATAGGCTAATTCAATTAATCATTAAAGGCATTTTATATGAATCTTGCGTTAATTATTGCCAAGCGAAGGCAACCGGAACTAAGGAATCTCAGACGCAGGAAATGAACTTTTCGAGGTTATTAGACGGGAGTGTCGGTTTTAGTGATTCGGATCTTAGCTTATTATCGTGGTTGCAGAGCATACCTTCGGACACGTTTTCTGTGCCCTTCGAACAACGCACTCTAAACGTCGACGTAGAGCGACTCGAACGGCCGTCGCTAGAGACTTCATGGACGGAGCATATGTTAGTCACCCCCATAAAACCAAAGACCTTTCCTCATTCTGCAATGCCTTTCACGAGACCTCGATCTGCGGCCGACATCATGAGCAGATCGCTGATGCCGGCGTTAGACGGGTTGCCTTACGGTCTGGCGCATACCGGTACCGTACCTCATAACGGCAGTCCAAGAGTTATGGCTTTAAGCGCTTGCGATATAAATAGTAACAATTCAATGTCCCGCTCTAGTTTTGCCAGCTTTCACCTAACCGGCATGAAAAATAACAAACCCATGAACGCGTCCGTTGACCGTCTCTTCGAAAACGAAAGTGACGTATTTTTAAGCAACAGCTACGCCGAATTCCAGCAACTCCCCTCGATTCAGGAGCAAACGAGTACGCCGAAAACGAACAATTCGATCCTACCTCACAATCAAAGTCGCCCCCGATCAAAAAGTCCCGAGCGGAAGGTGTCGTCCGCATCAACCCCCGAGCATAAGGGTCGAGAGTCGCCCGCCTCCGTTGGCACGGCGCGGTCATCCAGAAGGGACTCATTAAACGAACGGCCCACCGCCGCTCCTAACGCTTTATCACCGCCGGAAATGCATCTCGAGCAGAGCTTCAATGGCGATCTTTTGAAAGAGTTTCAGAAACAAAAGCAGAAACTTCAAGATACGCTGGCGTTGAGGGAGAAGGAGAGAGAAGAGCTTATTCGACAGCTGGCCCATGACAATCGGCTTATCGATGAAAGGTGAGTTAGTTGATTATTTAATTTATAATAATTTTAATAGTTGTTTGAAATGCTTTTATTACTTAGGGGTAGTCAATAAAATTGCTGGAAAATACATACTTTATGTTTATACACCCCTGCGCTTACAGATGATCTCATTAGTTTGTGAGGATTTGTTTCTTTCTGACTTCGTCGTTTTAGATGCATACAACTTTTTATATGGATTTTCCGAAACGACTTGTCGCAATGTAAACGTAAACTACTACAATTTCTATTGACAGGTAACCTGAAAACAAAAAAAAACCTTTGCACTAAAGATGTTTGGTTTTATTTTTTTATAACACACAACTCTACCTCGAGATAGAAAAAAGTAAAATTGCGACTGGAACAATTTTTATTATTGTTTGAGTCGCAATTTTACTTTTTTCTATTAAACTTTTAGTCAAACACAATTATGGAACGCCGTTGTATCTTTTAATAACTGAACACGCGGACTAAAAAAATTAACTATAATTGACGCAATGGTACTAAAATTTATAGAAATTTACTTTGTGTTAACAACAATTGCCTAGTTGAAATTAATAATTGCATATCTTCCAATAACAACTCGCAATAATTTCCTCTTTTACAATTTCAAATAACGGTTTTTGTGCGAAATTTCAAAAACCGTTATTGAAATGGCATATTTAACAATTTCAAATCGGCAGTCTTATTCATATATCACGATTTAGAAATAACGTGTTGAAAATTTTAATGTTCAAAAATTATCGATTTGATATTATTAAATAATCTTTAATATCACCTTCACGCTTTGTAATAATTTTCAATTTCAAGTTGAAATAAAAAATTCAATTCTCTATTTCAAACTCGTAACTTTGGAACGCACAATTTAATTTTTAATATCAACTCTGTGATATTGGTAATTCGATTTACTTATATGTCATGACATATAAAAATTGTGGCGCCATCTATCGAGTGATGTCAAAAGTGAGGAGCGAACCTCAACCCAACTAATCACGTTTGATGTAATTACCGCGAAAATCTACTTTCAAGTGCTTATTTTATTACCCATATCGTTCATAAATACATTGTGCGAATAATATTGTCAAAAAAATGTACAATTTACGCGAAATGGAGATTTTAAATTCTGTTCCGATTATTAAACTTACTGTCGCTAGAGGGCAGGTCAATTTGCTATATGTGATTTAAAAATATCGCCTTGATATTTTTAATTCATTTACCAATATGTGCGACTTGATATTTTTAATTCTATTGCACAAATTACTAATTTCTACTTGGAATTTTTAAATACTTTGCGAAGTTCGCTATTTGAAATTTATAATTGTAATTCTTCAATTATGGTGTTAAGTTTGTTAATTCAAACGTATTTCATGATATCGACTTTGTATTTTAAAACAATTTTTTATTTCAAAACTATTATTATTTAGAGTTGAAATGTTAATAAATTTCATTGATTCCTTTGGTTGGATGTTCAATCCACAACATAACGATAATTTTCAATTTCTTGTTTCAAGTAATATCCATCGCTATTAATTTATTCCTCCACAAGGAAGAATTCATTGCTGAATGTTTACAAACTGTTTTTGATATCAAAAATTTTTATCTGATATTTAAAAATAAAAGCTATTTTCAACTATAGAATAATTTTCTATTTCATTTCTTAATTTTCAATAACGAGAATATGTGTTTAAAACTCATCAACCGATTTTTCAGTAACAGAACTTATAATTTTGCATTCTGAACATTTTAAAACGTACCTGAAATTTTCATTAAAATCAATTAATAGGTATGCAGTTTCAAATAAAACGTTAGATGGGATTGAAATTTTTGCGACAATGGAAGAAGTAGTTTCCATATTGACAATTGTAATTAACACAAAGGTTGTTATAGTTAAAAAATTTTTAATATCCTATTGAAATATACAATTTATTCACGAATTATATTTCTAAGTTTCATATCGTGTACAATGCAAAGTATTTAAAAATTTCAAGTAAAAATTAGTAATTTGTGCAATAGAACTAAAAATATCAAGTCGCACATATTGGTAAATGAATTAAAAATATCAAGGCGATATTTTTAAATCACATATAGCAAATTGACCTGCCCTCTAGCGACAGTAAGTTTAATAATCGGAACAGAATTTAAAATCTCCATTTCGCGTAATTGTACATTTTTTTTGACAATATTATTCGCACAATGTATTTATGAACGATATTGGTAATAAAATAAGCACTTGAAAGTAGATTTTCGCGGTAATTACATCAAACGTGATTAGTTGGGTTGAGGTTCGCTCTTCACTTTTGACATCACTCGATAGATGGCGCCACAATTTTTTATATGTCATGACATATAAGTAAATCGAATTACCAATATCACAGAGTTGATATTAAAAATTAAATTGTGCGTTCCAAAGTTACGAGTCTGAAATAGAGAATTGAATTTTTTATTTCAACTTGAAATTGAAAATTATTACAAAGCGTGAAGGTGATATTAAAGATTATTTAATAATATCAAATCGATAATTTTTGAACATTAAAATTTGCAACACGTTATTTCTAAATCGTGATATATGAATAAGACTGCCGATTTGAAATTGTTAAATATGCCATTTCAATAACGGTTTTTGAAATTTCGCACAAAAACCGTTATTTGAAATTGTAAAAGAGAAAATTATTGCGAGTTGTTATTGGAAGATATGCAATTATTAATTTCAACTAGGCAATTGTTGCTAACACAAAGTAAATTTCTATAAATGTTAGTACCATTGCATCAATTATAGTTAATTTTTTTAGTCCGGGTGTTCAGTTATTAAAAGATACAACGGCGTTCCATACAGAATGGAGTCCTTCATCAACAAAATCTACTTCGAGAATCTGTATTTTGTGAAATACATTGATCAGTTTAATATAAACACGTAATTGTGGTTAAATTTTTTATTTTGTTAATACGTTGGCATTAAAGTTTACTCCAAAGACAGAATTGATGACGTGCACGCAAAATACCTACTACACTATTTCCAGTTTCAGAAGCTACTAACTACAAGACCAAGCAAAAGTTTACACCCTTAACACAATGGGGCATTGAGATAGGGGCTATCGCCCTTCTTATTGACCCTAAAGGTGGTCAATCAATAGGATAACAAACATTTCCGAATTACTTCCTTAAAAAAATTACATTCATCCGTGGTCTTCGTCCATCGTACCCAGTTCGGCTTGTTACATAGTTCCAGTGACCCATTTTCATCACGAAAATAGCATGGCGAAATAGATAAATCACGAACAAAGCTAAGTTCAATTGCCTTACCCAACGGAAGAAATAATGAATTTTTGAAAGGCGCCAGTTTATTACTGTCAGATCCAGTTAATTACTTTCCCGTCGACTACGCCTAAAAATAGTTTCATCTTAGCGGAGAGGAAAAACCGGGACAGGATGTTTGTACTAGAGTGAGTCATTTGTGAAGTATTCATTGAGAATGAGAAATATTTATTCGTTACTGTTACATTGAAATTAATTTCCTTACAATTTGACACTTTTCTTCTTTATTCTTGGGAATTTTGAGCTAATTAAATTAATCCTGTTGAGCGAAAGTTACACTCTAAGACTCTATTACTTAGTTAGATGAAACGAATGCTGTAAAGTTGACAAAGATATCACCACGCGAACATAAAAATATATCCCACAGAACAATTATAATGCAGAACGAGATGCAGAAGTATTTTGGAAAAATAAATTTGGTGGCATTATGTTACAACCTCGCTTTTAGGTAACGGTTTGCGTGTAACAGCCTGTATATTGCCGTAGAATTTAAATTCATTAATTTTACAATTTTAGATTGATTTTAGTAAAAGTTCTGTTTTACTTATAATCAAGCTTATAATAATCAGTCCAAGAAGTGAGGTGTCAACGTTCAAGTTCCCTCAACTTTTCTTGCTAGTTTTATTTGAATTTTCCAGTTCTTAATATGCAAATTTAGCCTAAAAAGCACATCCCTAAAAATTAAAATTTACAATTTTGGACTGGGGATCGGTCTTTTCGTATCACACCCGGAAAGTTTGACGTTCACAATTGATGCACCAAGAAAGTTTTCCAGGTAGGTCATCGATTTGAGATTTGCAATAATGTGCGTTATTTTCGAGGTTTTCGAGTTCATATTTTCAAAAAAGTTCCACAAGTTTACCCTCAAAAATCACAATTATAAACAATTTTTTAAAATTCGAAGTTTTAATTGAGATTCTACGTGCGTCTCCTCCAGTTTCATAGTTCTATGTCAATTTCAGAATTATTTTTCGTATTGGGCCAAAGTAAAGTTTTAAAAGGGTGCCATCTTTCAACTGCACCCCATTTCCAACATTTTTAAGTTTGCGTACTATGTAGGTACTTGTTAATTGTTCTACAGTTCCAAGTTTCAAATTTTGGTAAAACTTTCGTTTATTTACCTGAAATAATCGCTGTGTGAAAAATGAGAAAGCATCATTTGTTGCAATCGCAGTGTAAAATATTGAAGTTCAACAGGCAGGTTAGGAACAAACATCTACAAGACTACCCTCAACAATCACGCGTATAGATTCGAAATTAAATTTCCAAAAATTCTACTTTTCGATTGAAGTTCTACGTGCATCTGCCCTAAAGTGATGTATACTAGTTCTGGATAAATTTCGCAATTATTTCTGTTCTGCTTGCATTGCATCCCATAGTTTTGCAGTTATAGGCTAATTTTAGTAAAAGTTCCATTTATTCACTTAAAATAGTCACCGCCTGATGCTAAAGATTTTAATTTTTTGTCAATTGTAGCTGTAAAGCACGCATACGTATTCATAAATTACCTACATATTGACAAAGGGTAGTGAAGTTACCACATCATTATGGAAAATGTGGAAATTGTTCTATTCGAGGTTCTATTTGCATACCACATGAAAATGGCAGGATATTTAAATTTTTATCATAAAACTAAATCTACTTCTACGCCATATGGCACAAGTTCCCTTTGAATTGATCAGTTT